TCAAGACCAACTGTACCGCTGACACTACAACCGTTCTGATGGAATGTTCATTTCCATCTAGGTTGTGAACCAATAATTCTTGTTTCGCAAGTAACTAATAGAATAATCTTTTGTTCACCCGATGATGATCCATTATATCTAAGTGCAAAACAACGTAACATAGAACTCGTTTAATCGAGCATGATTCTCATTCATAAAGGGCAAAAGTGTAATATCCAAAACCAAGATTTTAGTATATAACACCAACAACCTCCCACTTATACTTAAAGCTTTCGCTTTTACAAGTATAGTCCTATCAATCCGTTATTCTAAAAGACCTATGTCGCTCTTATCGCCCTACACCTGACTCCCATTTCTTCCACTTGTTTGACGAAGACCTTACCCGACAAACTCTTCGTGAAAGGATCAGCTAGGTTGTCCTCTGATGCAATATTGGCAACATCAACATCTCCTCTACCCACTCGTATCATATGGTACTTGCGCTCTATGTGTTTGCTTGCTCTGTGGGCTCGTGGTTTCCTTGAGTTTGCTACTACTCCACTGTTATCACAGTACATAGTGATACTATACGGAATATTTTTAGCGTGCATATATACATAGTATATTTTACATTAACTTTTTAATAAATTACACATTCAACTCATGAATTAAATTAAAACATGATCAACTTTCTAAAATTTAATGCATATAAAAATGCTATCAATGTAATTTTGATTTTGTCAAGGTGGGTCATTGCGTATAATACATTATTACGTTAATGTGCATTCTAGAATCACTAATGTGCAATCTGCACACATGTATTTTTTAATATGCATAATATTGTATAATTTTACTCTATTAATTTAATATTGATTTATTATTTTTTTATAAGTTATAGTTTTGCCACATTGACAAAATTGAAATGTAATCAAATTTTATAAAATTACAACTAGGTACCTTAAAATTATCAAATTTTTCAAAAATAACCCTAATCAATTAAGTTGCAGCCAGTCTTTGTTAGGGTAGCCCACAGCGGCTCGATCGTGACATCAATCCGTTGACCTTCCCTTGCTCGTCACCACGTGTACAGAGGTCCTCTCGTAACGTCCCGTGCGGACCACGCAACCACGATGCTGGACAAGGGGATCTCCTTCCGCCATGCATCTGCCGTCTGGCAGGTGCAAGGGAGTGCGGTCGATTGTGTTTGGCTCGCCGGCGATCTGTGTTGGTTTGTGTGTGTGTGTGCATGAAAGAGAGAGAGAGAGGTGTGTGCGCGTTTGATTCGTGTGTGAGAGAGAGAGAGGGATACCGGTGTGTGTGTGTGTGTGAGAGAGAGAGAGAGAGATAGAGAGAATTGAGGGCCTGAGTGGTGGGTGACAGATNAGTCCTAGCGTGAGAACCGTGAGAACCGCTATTTTTAATTGTATGTAGTGCTATGATTGATTGTATTTTAGTGCTATTTTTAATCAGGATGTATTTTATTAAAAATAGCAACACAATTTATGTTAGCATTTGTAAAAATGATAGCACTATGTGAGATTAAAAATAGCATCATACACAATTAAAAAATAGCATCAAATATGGTTCTCACGGTTCTCACACCAGGACTAGTTTTTATTTGAACCAACCCCTATATATATATATTGTTTATTATTTATTTATAGTTTTAGATTTGTATAGTATAATAAATTTTAAATATGAAAATAGAGTAATCAAATTATAAGAAATATAAATAATAAAAGTATGGAAATAATTATTAAAAATATAAAATATTAATATGTGATTTGAGAAAACTTTATAGAGAATAGTATCGGACAAAAGATGAGTAATTTTCCTATTTTATTCCCTAAGAACACCAGTTATTTAACGGATGGAATACTGAGATTAGTTAACTTGATTTTAGGGAAGCCCGATAGCAATGAAGAAACTCTAATATGGTAAAGTACAAATTAATAGTCTTGTTGGGTTAAGAATTTAAACTAGACGTGGCCCGTGCGATGCACGAGATGATATATTTTTCTAAAACTTTTTTATGATTGTATACTAAATTTAATAAACTCGGTATATATGTAACAAATATAAACAGGTCGGACAAATTAAAAAATATCATAAATTATTGAATACTTTCTTGTAAACGACGGTTTGGTTTGATTTGGTGGCAAGTCATCGTCACCACAGACTAATAATTTAAATAATTTTAGCATATGAATTCGATAATAATAAATAAAAAATGACAAAAAGAACTTATTTACCTCTTCATCGTTGAAATTTATTTCCAACTACTTGGCTTTGAATTTTCTTTCAAATATACAAACAACCCTCAATGTGATGTATAGCTTGTTTTTTCGGGAAACTATATTAGAAAAACACAGGCAGCATATTGATATGGTGGAAAAAATGGAATTAGTTGGATTCTATAGATTAGGGATTGAAAAAAATGCTAAAAGATGTGGTAAATGATTTGTGTGATTGACTACTTATATAGATGTCATAAATTATTTGTGTTAAATGTGATATATGGTTCTAATTAAAAAAACATTCAAGATTTGTGATGTTTCCATTTGGTTCAACTTATTTTGCGATAAGATAATAATGAATCTTTTAAATGAGATATATTTTACAATATTATTAGATTCTTACTAACATAAAATGAGAATTATTCTGAGTCCTTTAAGAATTGTTTTAACCGGATTTTCTTAAAATTATATTACGAAATTGCGAAATAATTTTTTGTAGATATAACTGAATTCGATATTGCAGTCCGAATATAAAATAATTTTCAAGAATGATATATTTTTTTGGTATAAGTGACTGCTCCCTAAAAATTTGGTAACAATGTAATAGCTTTTTTAATATTCGGTGGCATGTGAAATTGAAATTCTTTGGCATGTGGTTTATTTATTTAAATGTGTTTATATGAAACAATATAAGTAAAATTAAATTTAATTTATGTAGATTTATATTTATCATCCGTTCATATGATTATTTAATTAAATAAGTTCGTTATTTATTAGTATGTAAATTTGAATGGTGGATTTATAATTGGTCAAATAATATGTAAATCAAATTTTCGGATTACATTTGTGTTATTTTGTGCCATTTTATGCATGTCAATTACAATATCAAAATTATAAAAGAATATTTCGATGTCTGTTTGATTATAATAGCCCAATGTAGGGCTGCAAACGAGTCGAGCCGCTCGCGAGCGCTCGAGTCAAAGCTCGACTCGAGCCCGAGTTTGACCGAACTAGACTTGAGCTCGAGCGGCTCAAGTACGAACTCGAGTCGAGCTCGAGCCCATATTTTGCATTGTCGAGCGGCTCGCGAGCAGCCCGAGATATATGAAATTACTAAAATACCCCTTGTGTATATATGTATTTAATGGTTATTTTACAAAATTTCTTGAAAAAATTCGAACCGAACTTGAGCCGAGCTCGAGTATTTTGAATTCGAGTCGAGCTCGAGCCGAGTTCGAGCTCTTGTATTTTTTTATCGAGTCGAGTTCGAGCCTAAAAAATCGAGCTCGACGAGCTCGAGCAGCTAAGAAAAAAAAAATCAATCCTGCTCGATAAGGCAAATGCTCGACTCAGCTCGACTCGTTTGCAGCCCTAGCCCAATGTATCTGTGAAAAAAAAAAATAATACATTAAGTTTTATTTAATTGATTATAATTATTTTAATTATAAATTAGAAAGAGAGATAAAGTTTCATGCCCAAACGTTTTTTGTAAAGAAAATCTCTCTACTAATTATTCAAATAAATTTCAGATAAACATAGTATACCGAATTTATTTACAAACTAAGTTCTCGACAAACCAACCAAAACTCTAATTTATAAATGATTTAAAATATTAATAGATACCTTTACAATGCAACCGAATTTCAAGTAAATTTTGGATAGAAAATCTGTACAATTAATTTGAAATGTCGCAAAAGAGTATACGTAATTTACACAATAAATAATTAAAATTAGCAAATCAGGTATTTTAAACACGTCAAGATCAAAAGCCATTAAAAATTTGAATTTAAATTCAATTACAAAAGAAGTAAGTCGAAGGCTTTGACCCATTTTTTTAATCAGTTTTCCACAAATAATTTTTCCATCAACCTCTTTCAATGTATAGAGATTCTATTAATTTTCATAATATAAGTTTATTTATTTTTCGTGCTCCATTTTAAAATTGCATGTTTCCTAAATATTAGGTAAAATATGTCGAATCGGGGCTCATCAGTTTGTTCAAATAAATTATCACAAAAAATTGGATAAATAAAGTTATGTGATTTTGAATCTCTTTCAAATTTAAATGTCTGATCTAATTGGTTATGTTTGTTACTTTAAATGTTTAGCTAATTAATTTTTTTTTTTTGTTTTGTTTACTTTTAAGATATATTTATTCAACTGATTACTTATGGTTTTATTTTCAGGAAATACAAAGATTTTCGGATTGAATCTCATTGGTGGAATTTATGTTACATTTTGTAATATTTTTTAGGCATGGGATAATCAAAGTTTATTATATGCGATTTATTTTAACTACATTTTGAAAAAAAATTAAACATTTCGATCAGATTAAAAACAACATTATTAAAAGAAAAATAGTAAGTGATTTTAAATTTGTAAATCAACTTAGCCAAAAAGAAAAATAAAAAATAAAAAATCAAGTAAGTCGTAATTGAAATAATTGAAAAACTAAATTCCTGATTTTGTGCGATTTTAATCCCAAGTAATACCGAAAAGAATTTTAAATTTCCACAAATCATTATCACATGCGTGAAACATGCTCCAATTAATTTTAAACAACATTTCCAAAACTGGTAAGTCGAAAGTTTGACCCGAATTTTTCAACTTTCTATTTCTGATTTTTCCATCAACCTCTTTCAATATATATAAATATAAATATAAATTCTAAAAAAGAGTAACAAGAATTTAAAAAGGGAGAGAATTTTTAATTCTGCACGTAAGATTTCTGCTTCTGCATGTAGTAGGCGCATGAATTTAAAAAATACGCATTGCTTTTTCGTGATCTGCATCATTTGTGAAAATCTAATGAACCGCATTAGCTTTGACAGATAACCGAACCGGATACAGGATTTGACCTCTAATTTAATTTCAGCATTCAAGCAAGAGTGAGTGTCTCCTATTTGGTGGAGAACGACGAAAAGTAGTGTGCCACAAGAAGAAGACCATATTAAAATAAAACAGGACACGAACCAAGAAAAACCGCCCCTTGAGAAAATTACAACACAAACAAATAAACTAACAAAAAAAAAAAAACGAGCATATTGATATTACTCACTCCCCATGGCCATCAAGAATTCACCCTCACAAACAACGTCCCCACCTACATATGCCTTGCCTTCCATTTTCGCTATGCCAAAGCGCTTTTGAAGCTTAACAAGATTCATTCTCATAACTAAAGTGTCTCCTGCAATTACCGGCTTTCTAAACCTCACTTTGTCGACTCCAGCAAAGAAGAAATTGTCCCGTGAGCCTCCAACCTCAGGTTGTAGCATCACTAACCCGCCAACTTGGGCCATTGCCTGAGCCCGAAAGCAATATGCATAATAAGTCCACGTACAAATGCAAGCTAGTGAAAGTTGCTTTAAAAAAGAGAAATAAACATCAAGGACTCATTTATAATTATGAAAGATTCTCTTCTTCTGTTTTTCTGTTATTAAAGGGCTATGAAGGTAAACCTCAAAAACAATGTTCTGTAGTTGGCCCTAAATGAATAGTTACCTGTTACCGCTACCATTTTTCGTCGGGTAAAAAAACCAACAAAAAGGCAACAGTAACAGTAAAATATGGGCAGATAGAAAAGAGATCAATGAACGTAGAGGCAGGGGATTAACGGGTCAAATGAATCTATAAACAATGTTTGGCAGTTGGACCTCAATGTACAAAAGTTCATCATACGTCACACTGACACAACTAATCAACTACACACACACACACACACACACACACATACACACATATATATATATATATATATATATATATATTTATATTAGTATTAGATAAGAAGACTAGTTTTACTAACAGCTTACATGCTCTTGACTTCAAACTTGCATAATCAAGTTTGTTGTGCGACAGCCTTATAGTTATATGGACAGACCTCAGCAGTTTATCAAAGACATATATACATCATTCTCTCAGCTAACTTTAGTTGTGATATTCTAGAAAAGGTCAGTGTTCTGGCCTTGACTTACTAAGGACTTGAACCCAGCACGTAGATCTTTAGACCCCCTTGACCCATTTTACAACTTTGAAATATAACATCTTTCTTTTTCCTTTAAAAAAAAAAAAATTACCATAAGAGTAGCTATAAATGCTCCAGAAAACCTCAAGTGCTAGCTCATCAAGATTCCATGTGAGATATGAGGGAATAGGCTATTTACATGGGTGTAAAAATCTTTTGAATCATAAATCTGGATATTCAGTAGATGGAATAATAACTTTCCTCAAACATTTTATCAAATAGATCATTCAGTGTGTTAGATAACAACCTCATAGTAAATTTCAATACATCTGTTAAGTATGTAATATATATCAGAAATACCGAACTAGAACTCATCATCTAAAACACAATCCCCACAACATGAAGTTTAAAATGCTTATTACTTTTGTTTAAAAAAAAATGAAAAAAAAAAAAGAAGTTTTGGATACCTAATGTAGGTGTATAATGAAAACCACTTGCACTAAAAAAAAAAGCAACTTTAAATGTTCAATACTTCAATCTGTTTCTTGAAAAAGAATAGGTATGAAGGTGAACATGTTAATGCTCAGGCAGCCAAGAAGAAATATGTTTTGAAAAGTAATGATTCCTAAAAACAAGACTTCTACAGCAATATCAACTTTCTTAAGTGCCAAACACTAGAATTTGAGACAGAATCCACAAACATTACATCGACTTGCAAGTGTGATATTCAGTACACTAGAACTGGAACCTTCACAATCATACATATATGAGAAAAGGTGTAGGTTGTAACTTGCAAGTATCATAGATCAACAAAAAGAACTTAATTCAATTACCTCAACCATGAGCACACCAGGCATAATTGGCCTCTCAGGAAAATGACCAGGAAAAAAATTATCATTTATCGTCACATTCTTGATGCCAACAGCCGATACCCCGGGAGTGTATTCAATAACTCTATCCACTAGCAAAAAAGGGAATCTACAACAGAAATGAATAATAATTCAATGAAAATGCAACATTTACAAAATCAAAACGAAACTGACATTCAAAAGAAACAATATAAAGGTCAGAACAACTTAATCCACCAAAATGTAAGAAATTTCACGCACCGGTGAGGCAAAATCTCCCCGATCTGGTTAATGTCCATGACTGTTGGAAATGCAGCATACTCTGAGAAACAGACAAATCGAAAATCACATCATGAGCAAGATGACAAATCAAATGATACACTTTTCTATCGAGCCACCAAGAATTTATACTCAGTTCAATTGGGGTCTCCGCCGTGGATATGCCGTTGCCGGAGGTGGCGGAGCTGGCGATGAAACTTTTATGGGTCTTCCTCAAATGGGTCGAAAAGGCGTCAGATCTAGAGATGCTCAGAAATGACTTGACTGAAACACAGGGATGCGTTATATTATTCGAAACCGGCAACTTCGACGTCTGAGCGGAAAACAGAGACTGCGTGAAAACACCGGACGCCATTGTAGAGTGATGGTGAGCGTGAAGATTTTGAGTGGGTTAATGAGAGCGACAGAGCGAGAGGTGAAAGTAGAGATGCAAATGCAATAAAAGCCGAGATGGCGGCGATACAAACGAGGTTGGCAAGGGATTTTCGTTGTTGGATTTTTGGCTTTTTGCTGGTTTTGATGGTGATTGAACAGCAGAAGCTAGATTTATGGGCAAAAGGAGGATGACAAGAGCAAGATCCTACTTTTTTAATGGTTGTGACTTGAAAGTTGGNGGGTACAAAATCAGGAGGTTGAGATACAACTTATTCTCAATTTTGTTTCCAAAATTTTAAAATAGAACCATAACTAATAAAAATTGGATGTTGCTATTCACTGTCCTTTATTACTATGTATCGCCTTTCTTGGACCATTTTGTCCTGATAATTTTTAGAAAAAAAAAATTCAAAAAATCGTAAATTCTCTGAAGGCACGATATTTTCGGCGAAAATATATCCGACGACGAGGTACGATTTTTCATCGGTCGCCCGACGAAACAGGTCGGACCGCCGCGGCTAGCTAGCGATTGTGGCCGCTCGTGGCGCCTGCCGGCTGGCCTGGCCGGTCATAGCCATTAGTGGCCGCAATATGCAGTCGGCCATGACCATGCCCTGCCAGCCTAACCGGCCGGCCGGTATCGCCCGCGACAGCAATCGCCTGCCGGTCAGCCAGTTTTTCTTTTTAATTAGTTAGTTTTCATTTATTAAATAAATTATGTTGGTAGAAATTTTTATGTTATAAATTAAAATTTATTATTATTATGTTAGAACTTAGAGATTTTTATGTTATAAATTAGAATTGATTATATTATAAATTAAAATATGTTATCATTGTGTTAGAACTTAGAAATTTTTATGTTATAAATAAGAATTGATTATCTTATAAATTAGAATTTATTTTTATTATGTTAGAAGTTAATAAAATTTATATTATAAATTGGAATTGATTATCTTGTAAAATTATTAACATCGTAATATTGTGTAGGTGTCATTCGAAGATTATGGAGGACACGGTATTGATTACAGTTCTGCTTTCATTATGGAGGAAATTCGTTAGTGATGCAGAAGTTATTACATGGGCAAAGGAAATGGCAATTATATTTGTTTTTGAATTGGTCATTTTTTCACACAAAAAAAAAAAAAAAGAAGGATGAAGGTGTTGATGTATTCGTGAAGTGAACGTTACAGAGGCAGTTTAGGAAATTTAGATCGAGCTGCTGCCAGACGTTCAAAGACCAAAGCGTGCAAGTGCCCATTTTGGATAGCAGTCCAACAGGTGGCATGATCTACATCTTGGAGGATCCGTGTAAGTCTTGATGGTGATAGGGGAATACATAATCATACATTGGTTGTATATCCTGAGGGTTATCGACAGATGAGCAGACTTAGCACTTCATCTTAAAATATTGTTAGTGATATGACTGCCGCTCAGGCAAAACATGCAATAATTTTGTCTGCGTTCCAAGAAAAAAACCTAGAAGACAACGCTACTCGGCGACATGTGTATAACTATAGAGATCAATTGCAAAGAGATAGTTTCAAAGGTAGAGATGTGACTACCCAGATTCTGCATTTGTATTCGGAGAGCAATAATATAGTTTATACATATGTTGATGAGGAGACACATGCGTTGACACATCTGTTATTGTCGCATTCTCAAGCAGTCAGTCTATTATGGACATATTACTGGTACATCGGTATAGATTCGACATACAAAACCAATAGGTATATTACTTTATGGATAACAAAATAGTATGAATCTTAATTAGTATGTTTGAGTAAGTTTTTCGATTCTATGTTTCCTCGTGTTGCTCTCATTTGCACAGTTGCTAGATGCCGTTGGTGGAATTAAATTGTTGGGATGACTCCGTGCGACAAATACTTTTTAATTGCATATGCAAGTATCAAGGACGAGAGCGAGTATAACTATCACTGGGTTCTACAGATGTTGAGATGTCTGAGAGGGTCTGATGTACATCCTACAACTATTGTCACTGACAGGGAGTTGGGTATAATGACTCCTATTCGGAGGATTTTTCCCGAATCTGCCACTTACTTTGCACGTGGCACATCAACAAGGATGTGGAAGACAGAGTCTATCAACTCCTTGGAATAAACAAGGAATCGCTCCAAAGTTCACGCACGGCAGGTGGAAGAAGGTTGTCGAAGCGGGTACGGAGGATCAATACCAAACTGATGTAGGTGAAATGTATGGTCAGTGCGCGAAGTTTAAGAAAGTGTTACAATATGTGGAGCACGCATGGTTAGTCCACAGGAAAAAGTTTGTCAAAGCGTGGACGAATTCAATAACACATTTTGGTAACACAACCTCGTGTAGGGTGGAGAGTGCCCACGCTGTATTGAAGCAGTGGCTTAACACGTCGACCGGTTTGCTCGATACAGTGTGGGAGAAGGTTGATAAGGGTATTGAGTCTCAACTAACTCAAGTCAGTACATTTCTTAAGTTACACATATTTACTGTTTTATTACTACATTAATTATGAATTTCATTGGGTTTAATGTTATGTAATGTATTATCAAGTATACGCTGGAGTCTTCAACATGTAAGAAGGTTGTGATGGGGGATTCTCATTTGCGTACTTGGCAATGCGGGTCTTGCATCACAATCTGAATTTATTGAATACTGAGCTTCAGCGAATGCGACAATTAAGCGATGAGATTGACTCGATCTGCGGTTGTGCACTGAGATCCACTCATGGACTTTCTTGTGCCTGTAAGCTAAGGGCGGCACAAAATTCTGGAGAGCCGATTACTTTCGACAGTATCCACATTTTATGAAGCACACTAGAGGTGTTAGAGTCAGGTATAATTACGATATTGATAAACTTATAGAATTTATCTAAACTTAATTTTTACTTATAAAGGTATACACATATACATATACATATAATGTCAGAATATGATATATTAAAATATATTTATAATTTAAGGTTCAAGTTTCATTCAACATTTTCTAGTTTCTTTTCATTTTTTAGTATACTTCATGTTCAGAATAGATTATGTTGTTTAATATTATGAATTTTTTATCTTATACTTGTAGAGACAGGTGACCAGTGTAGATTGACAGATCATCAGGTTTTTAGAACCTTGTCGGCGTGGTTTGTGCAGCCGATATTGCAACGATGCGGCACGTGAATTACCTCATCCACGCTCACCTTCATCCTGACCAACAAGCTTCACAACATGTGGTGAAAGAAAATACAAGAGATCGACCAAAAAAAAAACCAATTCAACTAAGCGTCGACCATCAAGATGGGAGTACAGAGACAGAGATCGTCCGGTGAGGCGTACAAGCAGTTTTTCCTGTGCCCCGACAAGCTCGTCTTATCTCCCTGCACAAGAGGCAACATGTGAAATATTTTTTGTTTTATATGAATGTTAACTAAATTATTTATATAAATTGTCACGTGAAATTATTCTGATATTATAGATACTAGGCCGACAAATATTTTTGAATTTGCACGTGTAGAAAATATTCCCTACGTTTAGATTACGTCAAGAGCTACCTGGATATTGTCGCGATAGAAACTGCGAATTTTGTGTGCTCGTGAATATGTGGCAACTATCTAACGGTTGAAACCTTAAGATGAAACGCTTTTTTTATATATATATTGTATAAAGAAAAATATCGATCAAATGTACTCCAACAACCATTCAATTAAGTAAAAGTACAACATATATTGTACACGCTTGTCTATTATATGTATTGAACAGAATAAAGCATCGAGTGCGTTATCATCGAAAAACAAACTGTGACAATAGACAACCATCTAGCTAGTAAAAAAAATAAAAAATCTTCTAAAATATTATAATGCAAGAACAAATCTTCTGTTCAACGTTCATCCATTTCACACATTTGTATGTGCAAGACGAGGTGCTTAGCTTCGCATTCCTCTTTGAGTTCGTCTTTTTGGTGGCTTTATTATAAATCTCCCTCTTGAGGTATAATATCTATTTTTTGGAAAAAAAAAAAAAAAAATGACGTGGTGCCTTTGCAAACAACCCCACCAAATCAAGAACGACATTCGTACCCCTCCTCCGAGCAATTCAAAACCCCCAAAAAAGTGGACTCGCTGCAAGGCAACACAATTTTACCACAATTGCTATCATACCCATAAATTTTTGCAGATTCTTCAAACAGCCCCTGAAACTGAGCATCTCTCAAGCAAGAAATTGGAACCACAAATCTACGCATTTTCTCACCGACATAAACCACAATGTGCCCCCTTGGAGTCCTTATTCCTTTGTGCTCCATCGTTAACAATTTGCAGCACTTAAAAATATTTGGCTGCCGGTTTTTTGTAATGACCAAAGTTTCTACCTTATCCATATTTTCGTAGTCGTATATAGAATATAGTCTTCGGTGCATGTGAGTGTTTATTTATATATATATATATATATATATATATATATAGGTGAATATTGTTCATGCATCTTGCTGTAAGAAATTTACATGCACAGTTACAATGTGGGCATGCAGCTGAAAATGTTGACAACGTGAGGATATTCAAACAAGTTTCTTGCTGTCATGAAGACAATAACAAAAAGAGCACGAGGATTTTTACTTGATTTAATGTGTACCATACCATGTCAATTAATGCTCATGTGTCCACAGTAATTATAGGGGCTCTTAATTTTCCCTTTTTCTTCTTTTCTCCTAACTATCATTATTCCCTTTATATATGTTTTATTATATCTTTTTTTTTTTAAATTAATATAATTAAGTATATATTAACTAAATTATGTCTGAAAGCCAAGAGAAAAATAATCATTAAATCAAGGTGCAGATCCGTAGTACTAAATCAAACTCTTTTTTCGGTGCCAAACCTATATGTTGAATTGACAGATGATGAAAGAAAGAACACTTTGGTAAAGTTGTACTAATATTGGTGGTTTCATGCCAGGGTATATCTTTCTTCTTGGTTTCCCATTACCCACATTTAAGTGTCCACAAATAATATGAAATTATCAGATGCTGGTATATTTATATGTAAGTAGTGCTATCTTATATAGTCCAATTTAATATGTAGGAAGACCAATAAATTTAGCACACAACACTAGATCTTATACCTCTCTGATATGTTAAATTGGTGTTATGATATATATAAAACTGTATTTTACACATCACATTTACAAATATATAATTATATGTATATGGGGTAAGTGAATTTTATAAACAGGAATGATAAAATTTCCCCCAGGACTTTTATACTAAAAGTAAAGAGTTTAAATATTTATCTTGCAAATTTATTTATATATTTTTTGCATTTCTAATTAAATCCTTTTGTATTAATTTCTTTGATTATGAAACTGCGTTGCAGAATTGAAGGTCGAAAACTGCCTTGCAGAATTGAAGGAAACTTAGACAGACAGGCAGTGACGGATCTAGAAATTTTACTCAGGGGATCCAATTTTTAATGTTAAATAATGAGCTTGTAGTTTATTTACTATAAATAAAAATATCTACATGTGTACCATCAAATTTTTAAAAACTTAGTATCTTGTATCACCTTCAAACTTTTAAAAAGTAAACAAAAATATTTGAAATTCCATATATTTGTAATTTAAGTTCAACATACTATAAATATAAGAAAATATAAGTTTTCTGGTTGCAAAATTGATTTAAATTGAAATTTCGCAGCACATTGCAACATTTTTGTTGATCAGAGCTTTCCAAATAAATATTTTTTAAGAAAATAAATAAAGTTAAAAATACGTGATTAAATAAAAAAATAAAAAATCAATATTAAAAAACGTAACAATCCAACTAAATACTCGATTTTTTAAATCTAAAAATGTATTTACAATTAAGAGATCGAAAGAGTAAATCATTATAAATATTTTTCAAAAACTTATTTATAAATGTATAATGTAATGATTAGTAGTACGTTTTTCATTAAATAAATAATACTATCAATTTAATTAAAATAGCATATAAAATAGGTTTTAAATATTAATATATTGTAAATATTTTTAGCATATCTTTACATATTTTAAGGAATTATATATATACATAATTGACTTTTTCAAAAAAATGAGGGGGGCCCATGGCACCCGCTGGGCCCAATGTGGCTCCGTCTCTGCAGACAGGTCAAAAAATAAGGAACGAAACTTACCAACCAAAAGCAAAAACAGAATCTACTCTTAGATCTAGTATCCTAAACTCGACCAAAAGTGGGGGGAGGGGGGGTCAGATGATTTGGGATACCACAACAGTTAGAGCAAACCCAATGAACTGGCCGACTAAGCCGAGTGAACCAACTGGTCGAACAAAGTCACAGGAAGTTGAACGAAGGTCAAGCGCCAGCATAGAGGAAGGAGTCTTCGGGAAGAAGAACACATAAAAAATAGACCCACCTTATAAATTTATGTGCTACTCCTCCTTCCACCAATTGGTTTTGGGATGGAACTCCACTTGGGCTTCATATGGGCTTTCCCCGTTCATGGTGCGCTTCATGTTTAGTGGGCCCGCACCTGTTTTCTCCCAGTTTCTGTCACGCCAATATTCTACCTCAACAGGATTCGAGATGCTCACACAATTAGGTGGTCTAACAAGAAAGACTAATGGAAAAAAGAGATATTAAAAGGATCAGGATCACACGTGGATATGGCCAAGTGGCCTGATAGAATTAGGCAGTTCGGGCAGTACGAACGGGCATTTCGTTCAGCCCACTCGGGCAGCCTTGGGTAATAAGGTATCATCTCCTTAGATAAGGGAGTGAGATATGTCCATTGTCACATGACATTCTCTATATTCTCTACATACACACTGCACTTCATCTTCTACAAGTGTTAACTTAAGCATCGGAGGCTCTTCACCAGAAAACCCCTCCGATATGAGAGTTGTTGTAGGTCACAAAGGACGTTCACCGGCAAAGAAGACAGATCTACGTCGAACCAAGCCGGTCGAAGGTTATTTGGCACCAGTATTCTAGTTTAGTTTGTTCTGGGATGGTAAAAGTTATTGGATAATTTATTCACAGTTTGAGAAGTTTTATAAGATAACCACACATTTAAATTCCATATCTACCTTTGTTATTAATTGAAAAAGGTAAATTCGAAATTAGTTGGGCACACATTTTTCAACCCGAATTGGCCCAGCGGGATGACTGCGTCCCGAGTCGAGCCAGAGTCGGGATGGTCCGGGTGGTTGTTTCGTATCGGGTGACTTTGGACCCGGACTTGATCCGGGCATCAACCCAGTCAAGTCAACCCGATTTGACCCAGTCCTATATTTTTTATTGATCTTTTTAATAATTTATTTTATTTTAAAAATAAAAAACCATGTATATATATATATTTAGTATAAGATACAATATTATTAATATTTTGATGTACAAAATTTATATACAAAACATTTATTTCTTATTACTTTTATATATAATTATATAATAAAATACTATACATCCCCCCTTATATATTAATTGAGAACGTGCTGAGCCTATGTGGCAGGCTCGCATGCTTCGGGTATGTGGCAAAAATACATGCTTTGTTATTAGGCTTGGGTAAATTTAGTTTACTTCTAATCCAAATATATTTAGGTTCGGATTATTTATAATATGTTGATTATTTATGGTAGGGGTGAGCGCCGGCCGGGACGGTGCTGAATTTGACTTGTCCGGATACCCATCCCACTTTTATGAATCCGTTCATGAACGATCCGGGATGAGGCACCGTCCCCAGCCATGTAATACATGGGTGCTGTACTAGTATAATTTTAGCCATGTAATACATGAGTGCTGTACTAGTATAATTTTAAAATTTAAAATTAATTATCCGTTCAACAATTAACCCAGTAATCCGGAGGCTTGCCCGGTTTAAAAACCAGGCATATTAAGGACTTTTTAACTCATTAACAATGGAATAATAATCATACTCGTACACCTTTGAATTTATTTAAAAATAAAAAATAAAATCATGAGGGTGGCCTTTACCACGGGGCATTTATCTGCATCCGAGATACCCCCCAACCCACATATCGACCCTCTGAAATCCGCAAACTACTACATTTACATTCTCTTCATTAATCCGTTGTTTTGCTTTCTTATTCAATTACTTCATACTAACCAAGTTGATACTATTTTTCTTATAACTATTTCATTGTAATCAAGTAGATAACTTGTGGGCGACATTTTCCATGGTTACGAGATTCACATCTATCATATTATATGGTTCACAACACCATTAATTCAATATTTCAATCACAACCTTTACGCACAGACGATGAGTTGACAGCGACAGCATGTCATCTCCATACACAGAAACATGCAGCCAAAGCCTGCATAAATGTTGTTGCTGTACACTCATTACTAAAGAATAAATAAATATACCGGAGCAACAAATAACCACCATAGAATACTCATCTGAAACAAAATGGTGAACAAGCACAGTATATAGTAGTTCATCTTTAATTGCGCATACCTCATATTACCTAGTAAGGCATGAATGTATTGTGTTACAAGATCAATCAGAAACTTCAAACAATGAACTATTACAAGGTGATCATATCATATACAGAACTAAGCATGAAGGTTTGTTGAACTCAAGCAAACAGAACACTAATGATATCCAAGAGGAGCTGGAGCCTCCCTTAGCTCTTTCCCTTGAAATTGGATATCCTGCACAAGCAGTGCCCGATTGAGAAAACAAAATCAAAAAATTCCGTAATCATTTTGCTTAATGAGCTCAAGTGATAGTGTTGACTTCCATCATTACTTATAACCTATTAAAGGACAGTCGATCGCATTTAGCCTAAAATGCAGTCGGAAAGCACATCTTCCAGTTGCGTTTATAGACAAAAGGAAGCATTCCTACATGAAATTCTGATGAATATTGCCATTAAAATACTCCGAAATCAAAAGCTCTGAGCATCCAAAAACTTCCCCCACTATCAAAATTTTTCTACATCCAACAATTACTAGAACAAACAAGGAATTATCTTTTATCCTGTGGTCTTAACATTCAAAGCCCATCATCTCATTTCAGACCTACAATTGATTTGATCAATCAAGAATTCAAAACGCAAAACAACCTTAAACAAACATGAAATAATCAGAACAAATTCTACACAAAAACGCACCAAAAGCACGCAACCGAGGCATCTCAAAACATAACACGAGATCACATGCATCCATATAAAAGATCAGAGCATTAAACACACACAAAAAAAAAAAGAAAAAAAAAAAAAACTCACAGAAGCAAAATGGTTGACATCCCGGTGGTGAGCCTCGTCCGCACGTATAACAGTAATCACATCCTTCAGCTTCGCGTCCTTGGGAAGCCTCCAGTAGTCGACTGCGATAGAAGGTGCCGGAACATTCTCGATAGCGCCACTGTCAATGTCCTTGAGGTATTCAGTATAGGAGTGTATGGCCTCCTCCTCCAAGTAGCCGACGATTCTGTGTGCCAGCTTGGGGGACAAAAGGTAGAGCACGAAAAATGCATTGAAGAATACTCCCTGAACAGTGAGCACGAGCAGCCTCTCGTGCCACCTGGGCTGAACGAGCTCAACCATAGTCATTAGGTGCATTCGCTCATTCTCGGCCTCCTCAAGCAGTGCCTTAATCCAACCTCCACTTTGCTGGAACTTGCGAAGGGATCTGAGGTGCAGCAGCATGCCACCCACCATGCCAGGGACAGCAGCCACTGTCTCCAGCATCATTGCACGGCACCCATACCTCCTCTGTGACACACACACACACGGATTAGAATTTTCTAA